ACCACAAGCCCATATGCGACTCCGCCACTCTCCCACTTTGGCGAAACTTACCCCTTTTAGTCGACTACTCGACCCTTGCTTCTTATACCTGGCCTTCTAGAAATTTTAACCACCACTTGACACTTCCCACATGTCCTTCCTCATCCTTCGCTGCTCGGTTGTTGCCTTAATAAAATCTATCTTCGTAGCACTTGAACTCCCAAATCGCTAGTAACTTTAAACCCTTCCGGGAATCATCCTTCTCGAGCCGTCGACATTAGAAACACCGACTCAATCCTAAACCACTGCACCTCGCGATCTCTGACCGTCGCTTCTTTAATACTGTCTCGCAATATCCTGCTCTAAAGGCGAATTGTAGAAGATCATAACACCGACGAACTTAGTACATTCAATAAGGACAACGACACCTCATCATAGAAGAAAACTCCACCACGCTCGCAAATACCGAGTCTCATTACTTCATCTACCCAAATCTGAAAATTCTTAGTCCAATTGCCTTTCCCCTGCCGGGAAAAAATACTGAATCTCTAGATAAACCTCCCTTCATTAACTGCCCCGATACGTAGGCAAACATCCTACCATCATATCATTACTGCGGAACAATCGTTCATAGCATCATGGCAACTTGTGCTTAGCCTCAGAGCTCTCAAAAATACTGTTACTGAGCCGAAATGACAAGATATCCTTCTGCAAGGCAACGACAGTAGCCCAATCAACTATTTAGGGAGAAACATCCCGCACCACATCCGTGGTACCATTAAAATTCTTCAATTCTCGATTTATAACAAGCAGTTCGCGTCGCGTAAGATTGAGTAGGAAGGAAACAAGGGCATAAGCCTCAAGGAATCAAATCGCACGATGAGGAATCAAGAAGGGAAGTACTCCTAACAGCCATGTAGCCTCCCGAAGATAAGTACAGACGTCTATGTACCGATCTACGAGACTCTACTAGACTTGCTCATGACTCGTGAGACTTAAGGGACCTAGTGCTCTGATACCATGTTGTCACGACCCAAAATCTACTAAGGGTCGTGATGGCGCCGGACACCGCTGTTAGGCAAGCCAACCAAAATACTTAATTAAATTCTCGTTTTAAATACTTCCGAAATCATTTCTTTTATAAGTTTAAACAATACATAGTAAATTCCTCTGAATAAATAATGAAACATTTAACAACTTTTAAAATTTCTGAATAAACCCATGGACATCCCAGAACCCTGTGTCACAAGTGAATGAGCAATTTCTAAGAAATAATGTAATACAACAACCGTCCAGAATACAATATTGGACAGAAAATAAATACAGTAATCTAAAAGAGACTTGCTAGCTGCGGGCCGTCTCGGGAAATGAAGCTCACCTAAGTCTCCGTATCAACCATGTTGTTGCGCTCACTAGGACACTAGAGATGCATGTGCCTATGCAACAAAAATGCAGAAAAGTGTAGTATGAGTACGAAAACAATGTGTACCCAATGAGTATCCCGTCTAATCTCGAAGAAGTAGAGGCGAGAGGTCGACTTTGACACTTACTAGTGGTCCAATAATATCATATCAATAATATATTAAATTGTGAATTTTTATAAACATGATTGTAATTCGATAGATTGCAGAAACTAAACAATTCTTTCTTTTATAGGAAATTTCCAAATTTCCTTTCCATCATTTATACATATATTTTTAAGCTGGGAAGAGGCAATAACAACTTCAATAAGTTTCAAGGCAAGCAATACAAGCATGCGCAAATCATGCTGAGGTCGTACTGCCCGATCCAATAGAAATATAAAATGTGCACTGCCGAGGGTCGAACGGTGCGAACCATAGATGCATCTATTACCCCGCTCGCGAATCCTCCATGCGACGCGGTCAACATAAAATAAACAAACACCCTGCTCGCAAATCATACATGTGACACAGGTACACATAGAATCACATATTCAAACAGTTAATCCAGACTTCATTAGGGAACAACTATCCAACAAAAATCCAAATCCTCCTTTTTTTTTAATGATTTAAGAAAAATGAAGTTTAATCCTTCTAGATTCATTTACCAATTCGATAGAATTTAAGCAAGTCAAACCGTCAATGGGATTACAAATATTTCCAAGTACAGCATGCTTTTAGGTCCTAGACTACCCGAACAATAGCATAATAGTAGCTACGTACGGACTCTCATCACCTCGTGCGTACGTAGCCCCCCACAAATAGGAGCACATAACCAATTAACTCACCTATGGGACAATTCCCTCTTACAAGGTTAGAAAGGAGACTCACCTCGCTCCGAAACTCCAAAACCGGCTTCCAAGCCCTTCTGACGACTCAAACCGATGCTCCAATGCTCAAAACTAGCAAATAATTATGTAAACCCATTAATATATGCTAAGGTACTCATATAATCCAATTTATAACAATTCCTAACCCCGATCGAAAAGTTGACAAAAACGTCATCGGGCCCACATGCCCGGATTCCGAAATTTCTCGAAGATAAAGTTTACCCAGAACTCACGAACTCAAATATATGATTTTCTCTTAATTCTATACCCAAAATCGTAGTCAAAATCCAAGAATACGAATTTTCTAGGTCTTCCCTCAAACCCCAAGTTTCTACCAATTTCCATATCCAAATCCGTATAAAATCATGTATCTAACTAAAAACTAGCATAAATTACTTACCTCATGCTTGATGGTGAAATGGCACCTCAAAGTTGCTCCAAAATCGCCCAAGAAATGAGTGAAAATGAGCAAAAATGGCCTAGAGCCCGAATAAATGAAGGCCACTGCCTTCTGCGATTTCCGCATGTGCGGTCCTGGGCCGCACCTGCGACCACCGCTTCTGCGGTCTAGGGACGCTTCTACGGACAGGACCACCACTTCTGCAGTTCCGCTTCTGCGGATTTGGGGCCGCATCTGTGGTCTTAGGTTGCCTGGCCTTGGGCCGCTTCTACGATAGGTGTACCGTTTCTGCGGTTTACCAACCGCAGGTGCAGTAATGACAGCAACCAGCAGCTTCAGCCTTTTCCAAATATTTCATTTCGATCCGTTAACTACCCGAAATCCACCCGAGGCCCCCGGAACCCCAACCAGTCACAAAACACATTACGGACTTGCTCGAGGCCTCAAATTATATATAACAATACTAAAACCACGAATCGACCTCCAATCCAAGCTTTATGAACTTTAGAATTTCAAACTTCTACTTTTGATGTTTAACCTTATCAAATCACGTCCGATTGACTTCAAATTTTGCACACAAGTCATATTCGACATTACGGACCTACTCCAACTTTCGGAATCGAATTCTGACTCTGATATCAAAAAGTCCACTTTCGGTCAAACTTCTCAAAAACCTTCAAATTTCTATCTTTAGTCAAATGACTCCAAAATGACCCACAGACCTCCGAATTCACTTCTGATTGCTCTCCCAACTCCAGAATCACCATACGGAGCTACTCCCAGACTCGGAATCCCAAACGGACATCGATTACACCGAAATGCACTTCAACCAAAACTTATGAAATTTCTTCCAAAATGCTAGCTTCCACAATAGGCACCAAACCGCTCCCGGGTGATCCAAAACCCGATCCGGTCATACGCCCAAGTCCAAAATCATCATATGAACCTACTGGAACCTTCGAATCCCGATTCCTAGGTCGTTTACTCAAAAATTCAATCTTAGCTAATTCTTTCAATTTAAAGCTTCCGAAATGAGAATTCTCTTTCCAAATCAACTCCGAACTTCCCGGAAATCAATTCCGACCGTACGCACAAGTCATAATACCTGAAGTAAAGCTGCTCATGGCCTCAAACTGCTGAACGATGCACTAGAGCTCAAAACGACCTGTCGGGTCGTTACACTGGAATCCGAATATATTGATCACTAGTAAATATGACCGCGCTTCGCACGGTTAAATTAACGACATGATAATTTTTCTAATACCGAAATATTAAAAGAGTTACTGATAGTAGCTACTTAATTTTGTACCTCCATCTCAATTATTTTCTTAAAATTTCTAGTTGATACGTTTAAGTTAAATACTTCTATTTTCAAAATTTAAGAATTTAGTAAATCAATATTTATTTAATTTTACTTTTCTTAACCTTTTCAAAAAGAAAAAAAATAGTTCTAATTCTCGAAATACAAAAAGAAAATAGTTTATCATTTAATACTTCTCATTACCTTAACATTTTGAATTTTTTTTATCCGAAGACATTTTTGAATTCTTGTTTCCCTTTTTTGTCATTTTTCTTGTTGATAATCTATCCTTTGGTTTTAATCTTTTTTTTTCTATCGTTTTTCATTTTGATAATTTCATCCTACCTCTTTTCCTTATACTATTTATTTTAATTCATTCTAACATTATTTTCCGTATATCCTTCCTTAAATAACCTAAGTCAATTCTCCTTTCTGCTCTTACTAATTAAGTCAATTTCTCTCTTAATTATTTTTTTTTGTATATTATATTTTGTACTACATAAAAAAAGTCAAAAATCAATTTTTATATAATCTTAATTATATTTCCCTCTCATCCCCCCCCC